CGTATGAGTATAAGAACTTAAAGTTGCCCTACGCTACTCTTTTTATGTTTCATACTATACTACTTTATATATTACTCCTCTGAATAACCAATTGAAATATCGATTAAATCAATACATACAAAAAATTGAATATAAACGAATTAAATGATTGTTAGCTTATCTTTGAATAATTCGATTGATCAACATAAAGAAATTTAATAAGAAATGAATGAATAATTTATTTAAATTATCTGCATTGATTAAAATCATTGCGAATAAATAAGATACATTAATTGCAATAAGATAAATCTTAATAGCTTATCACTACAATTATTAAATAATTGGAAAAATACTTATGCACCAATAAGGTTGTGGGCACTAACATCATATCTATGAAATATAATCCTGTATATAAGGAACTTTTTCATTCTCATCTTTGATGAGCAGTGACTATCAGCTCAGTAAAAAGGCCTATGCAAATTTGAATCGGGTCACAGATATTTATATCTCAAAATCATGTTTTTACTTTCATTTGTTTCAGCATTTGTAGTTGTACTTATGCATATAATTTTGCTTTAAATACAGGAATATAAGGATTTTAAAACTTAATTGTGAAAACAGATCACGAGAAAAACGATAAATATAGACTCACGTGTGGATCAAATTGTGCGTTTATCGTTATAAGGTGCTACATGTGAAGTTTCTGATATGCATTCACATTAGTGATGCGGTAGAATCGTCCCAATGATAGCCGTCACATTGCGTCACATTGCCATGACTTACCGTAACTATAGCAAAGTATTATCTGATATAGTAAGTTACGATTATAATGCCGTAACTTACTATACCGATACTACTTAGGCCAGACCAATTTGATTTTCTGTTTAACATAATCCCCCCCACTCTATTTTTTAAAATTTCGCATGAAAAAAAAACATAATATTAACCAATCAAATTGCAGGATTAATTTTTTGCATTTTTATATTTTTTACAGCCAATAGAATTGCTGTATTTTTATTATTTGTGTTTTTTTAATACCCTCCCCCCCACTATTATAAGCTACTTTCATGTTATGTTAAACAGAAAATTAAATTGGAGTGGCCTTACTATAGTTACGGCAAGTTACGGCGATGTGACGACCATCATTGGAACGATTCTACCGCATCACTAATTCACATCCCTGCTTTGCCACACATATCATCCAATAAAATGCAGACATACTCCACTTAATTTGCGATATAACCATACACTTAGTGAAATTTTCAATATCACTCCGTTCTTGGTTTATTCAAATCGAACTTCTTGCTTTACATACGGGTTGTCTTTATCGAAGCACTACTTTATTTTGATTGATCGCTTAATTTAGTATAAACCCTTTTTAGGCCTAAAAATTCTACACATAGCTTTCAAGGAAAATATAGTATTTTAAAAATATCTTTGTACAGTATATTGTTTATTTATATTTAGTTAGCTTGAATATGATTATCCGGGTATGTCTATCCGGGTATTACTCGGGTATGTTTATCTGGATAGCTGAATTTACAACCCGGATATGCCGATTATCTGCAGATAACCCGGGTAATATTCGACCCAGGTATCATCACTAGTATCCCACTGATTGGTTATTTCTTTTTTAGGAGTTTGTATAACCGACACAAATAAGTAAAGCCATGTACGGTATACCCAACTATATACCAGGATATAACTATTACATAAATGGGCTAACGAATGAAATAAAATATTTGATACAAAGTTACGATAGTTTAATGCATTACTTTCTGATAAAGCTATTAAATAAAAGAAACAGTTCTGAAATAGATACTATATGGGTCCTTGCCTTGAAAACCACCTTACGACATTTTTCGATCGGGTTAATTCAGACAAAACGGATCAAAATATCAGTTTGTATTTATATGTGAATCACACATTTGATCTTAATAGTTTATTTAAGTCAAAATGCGATATTTTTTGTTTTGTCCGAATTAGCCCGATCGGAAAATGTTGTAAGGCAAAAAAACCCCATATGTTCATGCACGTGTTGGATGTTCTATAGAATAGGTGGACAAACTTCGCAAACTACGCACCTCTGAATTAATGATTACTAATCATTAGCGAAGCTATTTCTTATATTGCCTACCTATTTTATAGAATATCCCTTTCGATATTTTTTATATTATTTTTTTGTAGTTTAGAATGGTTGGCCAAGAGATTATTAGAAATATCCATACCACCAAAATTGGGTTTGAAAAAAAGTCTATTAAAGCAAAGTAAAATTTTTTATATAAAAAACAAATCTAATTTATGTATTTATATTCTTTATAATTTTATCTATTTAAAAAAATATTAAAAAATTTTGTTTTTTAAGTCAAATAGAGTGAAAACAATTTTGTCTTCAAATTTTAATTTTAGATTTTAAACTTTTGTTAATATATATAAAAAGATTTATAAATTTACCCCCTATATATAAAATATAGGTATAATTTATAAAAAAATTTAATATAAAATTTAAAGAAAAAAATTAAATCAAATTAAAGTTATAATAGATTAGATTAGAGGTTAGAAGTTAGAAGTAGTTTATAGTAAAATTTTATATAATTGTTTTTGTTAAAACTCAAAAAATAGGTTTATAAACAAAATTTTAAGTTATTAATATATCTTTATTTTGTCTTTTTGTTGAGGAGCTAGCTTTAGATTGTCGTTTTGCTATTTGTATAAATAAATACAATTTAATATTGTAAATAAAATATATATTAAAAAAATAAAATTTAAATTAAATAAAAAATACTTACTACTACGTTTAATTGCCAATTTTTTTCTTGCAATGCCACCTTTATCCTGGCCACTTATATTGACGTTGTAATTGGCTTTTATATCAATCCTTTTATAGTTGCGCATATCTAATTTTCGACCTCTAAAAAAAAATTAATAATAAGTAATAAAAAATATATTTATATACAGTACTATAAACGAACCTTATTATCGCTGTCATTAGTTTGAGTTGTTTTCCTTCACGATTGCTCATAGCATGTGCTGCTTCAGCACAATTTGTGCTGTTTGGTGCTGCATACCACATATTATGTGAAATTTTTGAAATATTTGGATTTAGTGATGCGATAATATAAGGTTTTCTATAATATTGA